GGTTTGGAGTTGGAGTGTTCAGCACTTCCTCCTCCAGTGACTTGGCCCTCTCGAACCTTACAAACCCTACACCGTACTTAAAGGACCATGGGACTTAGTAATTCGGGTTATAAATAAGGTAACTATACTTATAACCCCGATGAGGGCACTTGTAACCTTACTTATAAGGTCCTCCTCCTAGTAAGCCCTGCTAAACCCTTCATGATCCCAAGCATTCAAGTCAACGACTGCGATTTTGTGCGCCCAAGCAGTGCGATAAGGTGTCGTTCGTAAAGTGCATGGTACCCCCCCCCCCCCACACAGTATGCGACCACTGCCATCCCTGAACCTCGCGCTTCAAACCCTAAACCCTGATCTCCAATGTAGGAACCTGATTAAGAAACCCTGGGCCTAGAGCCCCAAGATAGTAGGATTCGTACAAGGAGCCCTAATAAAGGCCCAAGGTTTCTTAATCAGGTTCCTACCTGAACCTCGAACCCTAGGCTTGACCCTAAACCTCGCACTTCAAACCCTAAACCTAAACCATGAACTCTAGACCAACCCTAAAATCAAACCCCAAACCCTGAACCCTGCCCCTGTGCGCCCTGAACCCAAAACCTCGCCCTTCAAGTTCTTAATCAGGTTCCCAGCCTAAACCCTAAGCCCTAAACCCTTTATAGATCCCTTGATCCCGTTAAAGGAACCCTTATAGAACCCAACAAAATATAGTACCTTTATAGATTCTAAAACCTGAACTCTCGACCGATCCAAGGACGGAGACGGGTGCCCGGGAAATGGCCATCAAAGCCCTGACCATGTGAAGACAGCGATGGTGTAGGGTTTAGGAACTCCGCAAAGGGGTCAGGCAGATATCAAGCGAAAGAGCTACCCGAACATGTCGGACCTAATGATTTGAATAGCTTGGGGGGGCATGTCATAGTATTGTGTATTCATATACGCGGCCTATGCGGAGATACCATCTCTAGCTATGCAGACCTCTTTGCTGCGTTTACAATCATTCACAGTTTTGTGGGCTTTGCATTTAAGCCTGGCGCAACACTGTGCTCTCTTTGTCGCCTTAAAGCCTAGTTAGCGCAAACAGTGTCCAGACGTCTTGCGACTGATTTTGGCCAGCCGTGTCCGAGTATAAAATTGGTGCCTGCATCCATCTGCAGAGTTCTATGTCGTACACGAAGGGATGCAGTCTTTGCGCTCCACGCCGTCAAAGCCATAATTACACCCTACACCTGCAAAAGCCCCGAATTCCACCAACAGTGGCTATGTTCTAACCACATCCGTTTCGGGCTTAACCCTCGGCTATTGCATCCACATGTAAACTCTACAACCACTTACACTTACACCCAGGGCAACGCCGGTGTTCATTCATCATTCTTACTTCAGGGATCATGACACCTGGTACAGGTAGCCTGTTATGTTCAGTCTCATGACTGTGGGCAGCTGATACTAGGCTTTAAATCAGGTAACTATACTTATAAAGACTTATATAACACCCCCCCTCCCACCAATATAACCGAACTTTCCCTGATCCTCCAAGTACAGGGCACCAAACGACCAGAGACACAGCACGGATATCTCGCGCTTGGGGTTGGGGTCTAGGGCGATCCCAGAACTCCCTAGTTAAGGAGTATCTTCTTTTTTAAAAAATTTGACAAGCTAAGGTATGTTCCTTGAGAGGTTGCGGAGTCTCTGCATTCGTAGTTTTGACGGCTTTTGGGTTCCAGGATTCAGGGTTTTTGAGCTGCAGGTGAGGGCTGTGGGTTAAGGATTTTCAGGATTTCGGGGTGCGTTGTATTGTACGGCTCCATTGCAACATGTCAATAGGCCCTTCACACCCCAAATCCCTCAGCCCCTTTAGACCCTCACGATTGTCTGTAGCGTGGCAAAGGGCATAAGTCGTAAGCCAGTACTAGCAGATTATTGGGCCCACACGTTCAGCATCATGGTATCGACGGTATCGAGATCTGAGTCACAAGTGAGACATTTTCCCTAACGTCGCCTTACGCTGCTCCTATCTGTTTTCACAAAATAACCCTAACACTCCAAAGACTCCAAGTATGCAAATAGTACCTACATGGGGGTCTTAAGTCTATAAACACTACCTACTTTGTGCTATTTGCAGTCTTAGGGTAATGACATGATACCGTACAGTGTCCTAGCTCTTTAAGACCCTGCAAGCACTCCAGAAAGCCTTCAAAAAGCACATGCTGGTTTGTTACCACCGCTGAAACCCTCAACCCTAAGCCCTTAACCCTGAACCCTAAACCTCAAACCCTGAACCCTAAACCTGAAACCCTGTTCCCTTAAACCCTGAACCCTAAACCCTAAACCCTAAACCCTAAACCTGAAACCTTAAGCCTTAAAGCTAAGCCCTTAAAGGGCGCCATCGTTCAAACCTCTTCGTTACTCAGAAGTCAGAGACTAAGATCTCTGGAATCCTTGGCCCTATACGATATGAACCCTTACCCAGAGGGTCCAAGTACTCAAATAAGAGGGCTTTAGGTCCCAAAAACCATTCAGAGTATGGATTTTGAGATCTAAAACCCTACTATTTGGGTACTTGGACCCTCTGGGTTATGGAACCCTTCTGGAACCCTTATGCTTGAAGGATCAGGAGATTTGCAAGTCTTGGTATACGTACCCCTTAGGAGAGCCTAAATCCTGAACCCTGAGCCCGCAACCCAAAACCCCAAGCCCCCAAAGAAGCCTGTCAAAGGAACCCATAGAGGCATCCGAAAATACTATTTCAAGTATACTTTCAAGGGAACCTCTACGGATTCCCCGCACCTCAACCCTGAAGCCCTAAACCCCGAAAGCTAAACTTTCCGAAAGCTCTAAACCGTAAAACCCAGTCCCTATACTTTCCGAAAGCTCTAAACCCATAGATCCCCTCCCTTAGAACCCATCGCCGAGGCTTGACCGAAAGACCTTGGAGCCTGGCACTTGAAGCCTCCAAGCGGTCGCTGGGAGTTTAGGATTTCGGGTTCAGGGCTTCGCTTGTTTTTTTGATATGGGGTGGTTTGAAGTTAAGGGTTTTCAAACTTTAATCTTTTTTAATCAGGTTTTAGTTGGTATGGTGTTTAGGGTTTGAGGTTCAGGGTTTGAGGACTTTTATAGGGTTGCTTGGTAACTAAGTTGGTGTTGTTCCACAGCTCTGGAAGCTGGCTTTCATGTTGTTCAAAGGGCGGTTTTTGGTCCCATGAGTGGCCGGAATGCAGAAGAACGTAACGGAATGTATCTGGTTCGTTGTTTCGGGTATTGGTTGCGGCTGGGGTTTTGGGCCTTGAAGCCCTCCTAAACTCAAACCTGAATTCTGATCCCTTCGCTCTGGGGTGCCAGTGATGTGCCTTGTGTACGACATTGAGAGTAAGTGATCCCTATGGTTCTTTGAGATAGTATCACTGTTCCATCATGCATATTCACATGACCGACGCGCAAGACCTCGTTTCAATTGTTAAGGCCCTGTTTTACGTTTCAAACCGTGGCATCCAGGTCTGGGTTACACCAACTTACAGGAAGCAAGTTGATGCAAATGCCATCCGCAGGTGCTAATTAAAATCCTTCTCCTTGAACTCTACTAAGCCTTAAAGCCTAAACCCTATAAGCCTTAAAACCTATAAACCCTGAACTTTCCTGGGATGCGCTGCCAAAATGATCTTTGCTCGACTGCCGACGATTGCAAGCGGGGAAATGAAGTGCAGGGCCTGATCTCCCACCACGACATCCGCCAAGCAAAGACACAAGGGTTTAGGGTTTAGGGTTTAAGCCAAACCCATATAGAAGACCCTGTATAAGTCCCCAAGGAACCTATTGAAATTCACCTTAATTCCTAAACCCTAAAAACCCCACAGCCCCAAACCCTAATCACCGCAACCAGGAAGCTTAGCCAAGAGTCAAGCTCATCAGCACAAACACACAGCCCTCAAGCCCCCGCAGACCCTACATGCAAACCCCGCAACATCCCGAGCATCACATTCGGTTGCTCGGAATCCCCGCTGGCGCCATGTCCGGCGGTGGGTCGTCGTGTATCTTTAGCCGAGCCTCGGCTGCAGGGTTTCTGAGTCGGTTTATGATTTACTTAGGGGTGCTTCGAAAACTTTTCATCTTCGGCCATTATGATCCCTAAGAAACAGCTAAGATTGTAATTTCTGCTGTGGGTCTAAGTTCAGTATAGCTTACAAAACATGTAGGGTTTTCTACGGCCACGGAAACCTAGACCCCTCAACCTCCCAACCTCAAGCTTCAAACCTTTTCCCCGCAACATACCAAGACCCGGGTTTAGGGTTGAGGGTTTAGGGTTTAGGGTCGGGTCAATCTACAGCAGGGTTTGTCTTGAGACTGTGCTGGAAGTGCGGCTGTAGCACACTAGGGCAATGCACATTGACAGGTCTGAACATAATACCAGCCGATAACATGCTGTACACTGTAAGACCCTCATGAACACCTTTAAATTTTCCTGTGAGACTCTGATAAAGACGTAAAGCCCTGTAAACCCTTATACGGCCTTGCACAAGCCATTTAAAGCACAAGAGGGCAGTTTGTCGCGTGGCGAGGTGCGGTCACCCAAATTCGGACTAGTACAAGTAAGTGGACGGCAGTGTCGTGCAAGGAGCGCTTATCTGGAACTTTGGGATATTCGAAGGTCGAAAGTTCAGGGTTTGGGGTGATGTAGAGCTTGCAGTTTTGAGGTTTTTCTCTACGTGAAAAAGTTCAGAGTCTGGGGCGCAGGGTTTAGAATTACTTGAGTTAGCGTTGCCCGTTGTATTCCGCTGATAGAAGCCTCGCAGGAAGCCCTGTCTCCCAAAGGCAGCTATAAGACCCTTTCAAACATGCAAAGATCCGTCAAGAGTCCTGAAGCACCCGGAACCCTCTTCATCAAAATCTATAACCTTAAACCCCATGAACACTAAACCCGATAGGACCCTTCATAGGAACCCTTATAGAACCCCTTAAAGGGAACCCTACGCCCTAACACGGTTATCCCAAGGATAGATGTCACAGAGATGGCAAAGACGACAACTTTTCCAGATTTGCTGCCTCGTGACTTGGCATACCTAATATAGGAACCTGATGAAGAATCCCTGGGTTTTTACTAGGGCTGATCATATGGGTGGTTGTCAAAATTAGGGTCCCTTTCATCGCGGCACCTATTATTCAGGGTATCCAAAAAAGGACCCTAATTTTGAAAACTACTCATATATGAATCCTGACACTTTGGGGCTTTTGGACCGGGGTTTCTTAATCAGGTTACTACATAGGGCTTGATTGTTTGGGGCGTTCGGGGTTGGTTGGGGTTTAAGGGGTTTTGTGCTTTGCTATTATTGGTCAATGGTTTCAGTGTTTCGGGGGTCCTCCATTCCACCGGTAGTACGTGACTTGCCATGGTTTTTCTGATTTGAGTTGCAGTTGTGATTTTTAATGCTGTGTTCTGGTAGGTTGCTCGTTTTTGTCGTCCTGCTTTACCGGTCTCTTTTGCTTAAGATTTAGAGTATCGGCGGCTAAAGAATACCCTTCCTAGAAGGTTGTTCAGCCTCTGTCCCCAGTCTATCTACGAATGCATGCATCATGCGTATATGTATATGCATGCATCTATGCATGTAGTAAATGCAGCATCTATACTTATGTGTGTATATCCACATATATGCATGCGTGTATGTATGTGTGTATTTGTGCATGTATGTATGCATGAATGTCTGTATGCACGTTATGTAGGTATGTATGTAAACTGTATTTAGGAGTGCATGAGTGAACGTATGCAAGTATGTATATGTGTATGGATGCATGTATGCTTCTACACACCCATGTAGCCGTAATATATATATATATATATACATATATATATGTAACTCTCTCTCTCTCTCTGACCCTCTCTCTCTCTCTCTTGTCTCTCTGCGTTTTCATACACACGCAGAAATCAATCTCCAGGGATTCGGGACCCTAAGCTCCAATGCAACGATCTAAGCAAATGGTACCCCTATGCAATTCCGATGTGCTTATTTGTAGGGAAGTTACATAAACTTTAGGGTCTATGGGTAAGGCTTTAGGGTTTAGCGAGAGCAGAGCAAAACAGTGCAAGAAACGAGCAAAGGACATCCCATAGCCTGTCCGTTCGTGCCAGGCGAAGCCTTGTGCGCGAAACTCGCGCAGCCGGTTCCATGGCCTTGACGGACGTGTTCAGTAGGGCTTTATTGGTTTTAGGCATATGTAGGGGTGCATAGGGTCAAACTACATTCCAGAAAGTGCGTTTTTGGAGTGCCCTTCAAGGGTCTATCAGGGTCTTCATAAGGTTCTAAAGGCGTCTGGTAAGGGTACTGCGAGTTTGTTTTGTGAAAGTTTTACATACTTCCTGTTTTGTGGCTTGAGGGCTGAAGTTGCAGGGTTGTAGCCTGAGCTTTCTGGGGATTCAGTCAAGGTTGGGAACATCTAGGGCAGTTCTTAGATTAAGGATCCTACCGGTGACGCCCTCACTTGGCGAAGCTTCCAAACACAATCTTACAGAGCCGGTGCCTGCCCGCCCCCTAGACTCGCAAGCCCTCATCCCAAAGTCCATGGGCTCGAATCCCGCCCCCGTCATCCCGCTTCCCCGCCCCTCCCCCAAGAGAAGAGCCAGACCCAGCATGAGAGCTCAGAGCTGGGCGGAATCCAAGATCATTCCTGATTCAAAGGGGAAAAGGAGGGACCCTTAAATGGGGACCCCTACCCTATAATGGGCTATATCATGGGTATATAATAGCTATATTAAGGGTATAGACCTAGGGGTCCTTATTAAGGGTCCTTAGGGGGGGTAAGGGGGAGGGGGGCGGGGGACTAGACTTCCTCAAATAGGCCTCATTAAGTCCTTATTGCGCCCCTCCTCCTGCCCCTGTAAGGGGCCCTATGAAGGAGGCCTCTAGCCTTCACACTAACGGCGCATAGAAAACACTAACAGCGTTTGGGGCTTCAATAACGGCGCACAGTGCGCGTGAGTCTGCACGCAGCACTACATCTGCTGCTGCCACTGGCTCGACCAGCTATGCAAAGTTGGCCTCTGCATTTGGATCCTTGGCGAGGCTTCCAACGACATGCAAGAGCAGTGCTCTGCATCGTAGTGCAGTTTGCGAATCGTGTCAGGCGACAGGAGGCCTCGGATGCAACTGTCCTTTTGTCGGAGGAGCCAGGAGCTTAAAGGACCATGGGACTTAGTAACAGAAAGGTTGCAATTAAGGTTCCTATACTATGATTACTTCTATCCCCGATAAGGGTACTTATTACCTACTTACTAGGTCCCCTGATCCCACTAAGAGGCTCAGCCGCAAGCTCTACAAGCGGATCGAAGCATTGGAGAGTCAGCTAAAAAGAGGAATCTCCCAGTTCCGGATCCGGAGTGATTCTTGTTACAGGACTTTTAATCTTTGGCACCATAAAGAGATCTATTGTACATATTCTGGCTTCTTTATTATGGTAGCTGAAATAAATAAAGTATCCTCACCCTTACCAAACCCCTAAACACCTAAATCCCTTAACCCTTAAACCCGATTTTACTCCCTTAGCAAGAACCCTTATAGAACCCCTAAAGGAACCCTTACAGATACCTCAACAAGAACCCTTACATACACCAAGGAGGACCTTCCGGCAGTGGAGGTCTCCTTTGGACTCTGAACCCTAAACCCTACTATAGGGGCTTGAATAATCAGAATAGGGTCTTGGGGTATATTATACTATAATCATCACAATAAGGAACCCCCAAAATAGTACGGGTAATTATTTAGGCCCGGACCCTATATTACACCCTAAACCGCTACAAGCTCTTTCAGGGTTTGCCTTCTTGGAACCGCTAACGGAACCACAAAGGACTCCAAAGCCCTAAAACCCCAAAGCCTATAAACCTTACAAGATAGAAGAGTGAACTTACTATCTTTGGTAGTATAAACCCTCACCCTAAAAACCCTAAGCCCTTACAGATCCTTTTTAAAGTTACCCTAAACCCTGACCCCTAACCCCCTAACGCAACCCTTGAAGGAGCTCTTACACCCCTGCAAACCCTAAAGCCCCAAGCCCTTCGAAACCCCCTAAGGGATCCCTTAACAGGAGCCTTAACGGCTGAAGCCCATAAAACCCTATAAGCCATCTCTATGTAACCCTGAATCCCAAAACGGTCCCCCTAAACTCTAAACCCTAAACCCTGAAACCCTACACCTTTAAGACTTTGAGGACCTCTCTAAGGATCCCTTTAAGGAACCCTCTAAGGATCCCTTTAAGGAACCCTTGAAGGAATCCTCGACCGCCCTCTCTTTGAGGTGCTGGAGGCGGTGCAGGTGCAGCGAAGGAAGCCGGGAGGGCCTCTGCCAGGGAAAGGCTCGGGTCCGGTGTTACCTTTACTTGGAGGGGCAGGGGACTTACAATAAGCAGGATTATAATTGGGGTAACTCCTTTCATGGTACTTACAACCCTACTTATAACCGACTTACTAAGTCCCCTGCCCCTCCAAGTAAGGGTAATGTAGGAACCTGGTTAAGAAACCTTGGGCCTTTTTTGGGGATTCCTTTAAAGAGGTCTATAAGGGTTACTCTAAGGAATCTATAAGGGTACTATAATAATGTAGGAATCTGATTAAGAAATCTTGGGCCTTTACTAGGGTTCCTTGTATGAATTCAAATTGGGGTTATGGGCCCAGGGTTTCTTAATCAGGTTCCGACAGTATCCGTCTCAGGCTTCCTTAAAGGTTCCTATTATTAAGGGTTCCTAAAGAGGGTTTGGGATTTCGGGGTTTCGGAGTTTAGTGTCTGTAGTTTTGGGTTTTGGGTTTTGGGGTTTGGGGTTTAGGGATATGGATTCCTTCAAGGGTGCCTTTGGGGGTTCATTTAGGGGTTCCTTAACGATTTCTGTAAGGGTGCCATTCGGGGTTAGACGGAATTTTTTATAGATCCCGAAGGATTTGGATTTGAGCTTGAGTAGCCCCTATACCCTCAACCCTAAGCCCAAACCTAAGCCCTGAACCCTAAACCCCCCTAAACCCTAAGCCCAAAACCCTAAACCCCCACGTAAACCCTAAGCCCTACACTTGGATTTCCTATACTCTACCTTAAGGGAATGAGGATATCGATGTTCCAACTTTCTGGCTTCTACTGCAAACCCCAAACCACCCTAAACCTTCAGCCCTAAACCCGCTACCCGAAACCGTGGCTCCATTGGCAGAAGCCCCGACAGGTTCCTTCTCAAGGTAATGCTGTACGGGGTTGCCAGAGACCCCAATACCCCTTTTTTTAAGGAACATACCTTAAGATATATGGGTATTCGTATTATGACTTAAGCTATGTTCCTTAATTGAGTTGTATTGGGCTCTCTGGGTTTTAAAGGGCTTGATAAGGGTTTGTGCAGGCTAATAGGGTCTAGGTTCTTGTATGGGTTTTATGGCTTTTGATAGGTCTTTTGGGGGGCGCCGATAATGAGAATAGGGATTGGGGGGGGTGCATCGTACTGCATTATTGTAAGCAGGAGCCTTAAGGAATAATTAGAGATGCTTGTCGAGGCCGTATTTTGGATAATTCAAGCCCCATTGCAAAGCCCGGCTCTTGTCACTGAAACCATATAAACCTCGAATGAAGCCCGATATCCCGCCTCCCTCTCTGCTCTCTTCGCTGCCGGGGATACAATCATGTTGCACGCTCTTTGTGGCTTGGCCTAAACCCCTAAACCCTTAAGCCCTAAACCGGGCTAGGTTGGGGTGTGGGCTCTTAATCATAGGGACCCTTACGCCGAGCTTTGGGAACTGTTACTTCAGCCCGGATGACTCTTGTCCCTGCTTGAAGGGGCAGGGGAATTAGCAAGTCCTACTATACTATAAGAACCCCAAGCACTACTATTAAGAACCCAAAAAGTGTAAAGGTTACTTGGAGGGGCAGGGGACTTTAGGAAGTAGGTTATAAGTAGGGTTATACTTGGGGTAGCTCCGTTTAGGGTACTTATAACTCTACTTATAATCGACTTACTAAGTCCCCTGCCCCTCCTAGTGGTAGGTTGTTTGGCGGACGACCGGTAGATTTTCCGATGAAGCCGAAGAGCCGGTCTTCCAGCTATCAACCCTTAGGATCCAGAGTACGTAGCCTACGTAGCCCCTTACATAGTAGTAGGGTAGGGAACCTTTAGCCTTTTTTGGGTAGTATAGCCCGTATAATAATATCACCCCTATATAACCAAAAAGGTTAACCGTTAGTTCCCCATGATACCCGACAAGTAGGCTCATGTAATAAGCCTGAAACCCTCCGGGCAGACCGTTCTTACGGTTTAGGGTTTAGGGTTGGTAAGACACCTAGGTTCCAGAGCAGGCCCTTGTTCCTTCTTTTGGGGTTCAGGTTGCCTTCGAAGCCCCTTGAAGCCAAAAAGGGGCACCCTTTTTATTCCTAGGTTACTCTTGGGTCTAGACCCGTCATCCAAGAATGTAAAGTTTGAGACCCGGGAAAGGGTGTGAGTTTAGGTTTTGGAGTGCATGATTTCGAGGCTACCCAAAACCTTTAACCCGAAACTCCTAAACCCGAAGCCCCACCTAGACCCCCGAACTACCCTCCAATTTGCCCCCAATACCCACTACTAAGGACCGTAAGGGCTCCATTGAAGGCCATAGGGGTGGGGGGGTCCTGTAGTTTCTGGTTCTAGCTTCAGAAGGATCCCTTGCCCCTCAGGGCCGCCGGCGCAGAGCGCCGCCGTCCCCTTGCCCGCTGTGCCGCTGAAACCCAGCGCTGAGGTTTCTGTTGAGGCGCCCCACTTAAAGGATCATGGGACTTAGTAAACTAGACTTATAAATAAGGTAATTGTACTTATAAATACTTTAAACACCCCAATTAGGGGACTTATAACCTGACTTACTAAGTCCCCTGCAGAGTTGGGGGTCTAGAGCCGTTTTGGGTTGAGGGTTTAGGGTTGAGGTGCCCCAGAGTTGGGGGTCTAGAGCCGTCTAGGGTTTAGTGAAATCCTTCAATCATGAATATACACTAAAATCATAGTGGGATCCCGAATATAACCTTAATTCGGGGATTTTGGAAGTCGGGCCTTACCTGGACGTTAAGAAATATTATGGTGTGCGTTTTTTGTTCTTCCTGCAAAAGGTAGCTTTCCGTGGTTGAGACAGGGGTTTTGCAGAGATTGGGGCTTTTGCTTACGGTTTAGGCTTGTTGGGCGTGTTTTGCAGAGGACTGGTGCCCCGAACCCAAAGCTCTCTGTGGATTGATTTGGGAATTTCCGAAATTTGGAAGTACTTATAATAAGGATCTGGAGTAAACGATTACGGTCCCCTGTTTTCGGAAACTCCCATTTTGTCCTGACGAGCCAAAGGGGCTAGCTGACTGTTCATTTCTGCAGGGGTTCCTTTGAGGGATCTACACGGGTGAAGGGTCGGGTCTAGGGCTGCAGAAGTGGGGTTACAAGTACCTTAGCTGGAGCTATGCAGAACCCTAGTTGATATATAAGTCCCTTCCTTTGGAAAAGGTATAGCTGTCTGAATAATTAGCTATCGGAATCTGTTGTAGCCCTTATTGCTCTACTACAATATACCCCAAACCCAACTGTACTCATTAATTGAAGCTTTAAGACGCCCCTACATTACACTGCGTGCTCCGATGGTTTAGGGCCATAAACTGTGAACCCTAGAGCCCTAAACCCTAAAACCCGACGCCTCGAGTCACCACACTAGGTATCGATTCGGGATGATCTTATTATGTAAACGCAATGGTCGAGCCCTCATTATACACAGTTTTGGGGACTGCTGATAGCACAGGAGCGAAAGCCGCGTGTTCCTCGAGTTGCCGCTCGCCGCGGGATATCGACGGTGCGCCCAAGCAGAGGATGTGCGATTGAGGATTTCGGGCTTCGAGTTTAGGGTTTGGGATTAGGGGATGTGCAACTAAGGTTTAGAGGGCAACTACCGGTTGCCTTCGTTGTGCAGACTGTTCGTAGAGGGTTTTTATCTCCGTAGGGTGTTGATTGGCTGCGCAGGCCCAGTCGTGTCCCAATAATTACCGTTTGTATGTTCGGAGTCTCCGTCCCGAAGTTGAAAAACGGGAGAAAGTTATCTTCAGGGATCACCCGGGAAACTAAAGTTGACAAGGGCTTCTGCACTACTAGACCTTGACTGAGGGTTTCCCTACAAAATCGCAGGTTGTGACCGCCTGATTCTAGGGGGTATATCCCTTAAGTCAGCAGGCTGTTTAGAGACACAGGCCCCTTTTGGTAGCTCTTGAGTTGAGCCCCAAAACCCATCTCCTCAATCTTTCTGGTAACCCTTAACCCCTAAACCCCTAGACCCCATGGCCCCTATAGACCACTAGGCCCCTACACCCATAAAGGGAACTCCAGAAAGTTGGAGTATGGTTATCCTAACCCTTCTATGGTAATTTATAGGGTGTCCTACCATGAAAGCATATTCCAACTTTCTGGAGTTCCCTTTAACCCTAAACCCGTGACCCTCGACTCTTAGAGCGACCCTTTTTGGAATGCTCGCCAGTATGTTCTCTTGGCACGAGGCATGGTATACTATGCATAACTATAGTCTGGGACCCCCCCAAAATAGAATTGTTAATGATGTAGGCCCCGACATTGAACCCCTTTTATTATACATAACTGTATCACGAAACCGCGCAATACAATCGGTAATTATGTAGGCTCCTATATTGTCCCCCTACAGTAACCCTTATGATGCCTTTTCCCCGCCAGGCTCCAAACCCTTACATCACTACACCCTAAACCCCCTAAGCTAACCCTTAAGCCCTAACCATCACATTCACACCTAAGCCCAAAGCCCTTGTACTAACTAGTTGCCCCGAAACCCTAAACCCCTGAGCCCTAAGCCTCTAAACCCGTGACCCCCATAGTAACATACTAAACCCAACAACCCTAGAACCCCAAACCCTGAACCCTAAAACCTTGTTATTTCTTCCTGCCAGGCCACCCACCTCAATCCCAAACACCCCTAAACCCTAAAAGCACCCTAAGTCCGAAACCCTCACGCGAACCCCCTAAACCCAAAGCCCTTGCACAAATAGTAGCCCTTAAACCCTACACCGTGGCCCTACACCCCTAAACCCAAAGCCCTACAAGCCCTTGTACTATTTAGTAGCCCTTACTTCTAAGAGGTCTAGGGTTTAGAGCTTTTAGAAGATTGCTTTCGAAGCCAATTACATCTAATATAGCCCTTCTGTTTCCTGCCAGGCTCCTGCGGAGTCTGCTTGGTCGGTGTCTTGCTCGGGCTCGCTCTCCACCTCCACGACTTCTCGCTTCTTCAAGCGGGGGAGCGGGGGGGGGGGGAGTGCGGAGGGGGGTTCCCTTTAAGCAATCTACATCTTTCAGCAATCTACATGCGGGGTTACGGTTCTAATGGGCTCCAGAAGGTTATGTGCGACTTCAAGCGGAGGGATGCTTAGGGTCGAGAGATTGCAGTTCATCGGTTTAGGGTTTCCAGGGTTTCCGGGTTTAGAGTTCGAGTGCTTTGGGGGGGTTGCCGGTTTAGGGTTTAAGAGTGCTTCTTCAAGCGCGGCCCGTGGGGGGGGGGGTTACCTTTTATTCACGGGTTCTATAAGGGTTTAGGTTTTTGGAGGTTCAGGGTGCTTGTACGGTTTTGGGTTTCGGAGTTTCGGGTGTTCGGGTTGAAGATTAGGGTCCCAAAATTCAGGATTTTCCGGTTTAGGACTCTAGGATTCTGGGGCTTAGGGTTTTCGGACTACCAGTAGGGCGTTTAGCGTTCTGCTGTTTACCGTTCAGGGCTCGGGGTTGCTTGGCGCTTCTTCAAGAGGGTGCGGGAAGGGAGTCAGGGGCCCTTAAGCCCCGCTAAACCCCTAAACCGTTCTAAACCCCAAACCCCTAAAGCCCTGAACCCGATAAACCCTAAACAGTTCCGGGTTGAGGGCCCTAAACCCGAAACCCTAAACCCTAAACCCTAAACCTTGAAGTCTTGATTGTTCCTCAGGGATTCCCGGGTGTGTTCGGGCCCGAGATGAAGCCTTAACATTGGGGGTGCGCGGGTTTTCAGCATTGGAGCAGGGTTGGGGCATATGTTATAGGAGTGAGGGGATCTTTTGAGTTGGAGATTTTGTGGGGGTTATAACGGTTGGATGAGGTTTTATCGGCACAGGCGTCCTATCTCTCCATCTACCGTCCGTGAGGCCGCCTATACCAAGGAGCGGCGGGTCCGGTAGGTTGGTTTTGGGTTTTGGGGTTAGGGGTTTAGTGTTTAGGATTCCATGGATTGGAGTTTTAGACGGAGTTGTGTAGGGTTCAGGCGAGGTTGCCCAGTAGTTTACCTTTTCTTTGTCACGGCGGTGTGCTCTTTCTCAGACTTGGATACTAGGAAGACACGGGAGTCTTTGTTTTTCAGGGAGTACTGAGCACCTAGGAAGACAGGCTCTTAGGGGTACAGCAGGTCAGTGGGGTTAAGGGCTTGAGGGGGCATGTGAATTCAAATGGCCCTAAACCCAAAACCCTAAACCCTAAACCCTAAACCCCAAACCCTAAACCCAAAACCCTAAACCCTAAACCCTTAAACCGTGGATGCACGGCTCATTCAGTTCAAGGCATTAAGCGTCAGCTTAGAGTCGCTATGGGAGTTCAGGGCGTTGGTCGATGCCCAGTAGTACCCTTAGGGATCTATAAGGGTTCTATAAAGGGTTTAGGGTTTCCGAAAATTAGGGGCTAGGATGCCCATTAGTACCCTTATTCCCTTTTTGTAGTCCTAGGTTCCTTATAAAGTTACCCAATACCAAAAAGAGAGGCCTTTTTATTCTTAGGTTACTGGGTATCCTAGGAAATTAGACAAGGTCACACCCACCAGAAAATCAACCCTGATTCCTGCAAGCATTGAAGGTCGAGCTTCCACAAACCCTAAACCTCTTAAGCCCTAAACCCTCACCCCTAAACCCTAAAGTTTGAAAACAGGTATGAAAAAGGTCGAGTCAGCAGGGTCCGCATAGCTTGGCGGAACTCGCGCGTCGGGGGAAGGTTCCAAGGCTTGAGTCCAGAACCTCCGGATGTGGGCACCACTAATTCGGCTATCCATACATTGGAGTTTCCGAAAACAGGGGGCACCTTATTTTGGGGGACCTTATAATAAGGATCCTACTATTTAGGGTACTATATTTTTTAGGGTCCCCCCATTCTCGGAAACTCCCACATCAGAATTAGTAATGAGAATACTGCTGGGGATCTTTCATGGGCTTTGCAGCACCTACACCCAGTGTCATGCCAATGACGCCAGAGCCCACAAGGAGCTACTGCTGATGGTATAAATCCTGCATTACACATAATAAGGAATTTACCATAATTCCCATAGTTTAGGGTCCTTAAGGTCATGCAGGATTTTTATCATCAACCGTATGTCAATGTGATGACCGACCATTGGCCCTAAACCTCAAATCTGAAAATGTAAAACCAAAGCCGCTAAAAAGGCCGAAACCCCAAAACTCAAACCCCCAAACCCTAAACCCCATAAGCCCTAAACCCCAAAACTCAAACCCCTAAATCGCAGGAGACCATTGGCACTGGCATCTATCGCACGGGAATCGAGGAGGAGCTGGCGGAGAGAGACTCCGACATAGCTTCTCAGCTAAGTGGTTCAGGGTTTGGGTTTAGTTTGGGGGGTACATAGCTTCTCAGCCTGAATCCTTGAGGCTTTAGGAGTTTTTTCGGGTTTTGGGGTTCATGGTATAAGGTTTCGGGATTTTAGGTTTTAGCCTATAGTCTCCTTAGGAATCATGTTTTATTTTTGGTCATATAGAACTCAAGAGAATATTGAACCTAGTAGTTTTATTATGGTTCTAAGGGGGGGTATAGTTCTCCGCTTGAATTAGCTGAGGGTTTAGGAGTTTAGGGTTTTGGGGTCCAGGGTTTCGGGTTTCAGGGTTCAGGGTTTAGGGTTAGTCTGGGGGTACATAGCTTCTCAGCGTGAATCCTTGAGGCTTGAGGGATTAGGTAGTATTATTAGGGAGACCCCTTAAAGGGTACCCCTTCTGAACCCTACTTCTGGCTCTCTTAAAAGGGGCCTTATTGAGAGGGTCTATATCCTCAAGGGTCCCCCTAATCCTAACTCCCAAGGATTAGTTGCCTACTGTTAAAGGGGTCCTATAGGCCTTACTATAAGGGGTATTATGGGGTATGTAATTTAAGGCCCTCAATATTTCGAACAGGGTTTTGGCACCCATTATACTACTTAGAGGATCATGGGACTTAGTAAGTAGGTTATAACTGGGGTTATAAGTCCCCTAAGTGGGGTTATCCTAATTATAACCTACGTATAACCTTACTTACTAAGTCCCATGAGCCTTCAAGTAGACCCCTAAACCCCAAACATATGGATTAATGGTAGGATCCCCTATAATTTACCTTCAAGGGGATACGATAATGATATTCCAACTTTCTGGCTTCTACTGTATAGTTATAAGGGGCCTGTGGTTTGGGATTTGCGGGCTGAGGAGCTCCTGGGTTGCCGGTACAGTCTAAGACCTTTACAGGTGGGTAGTTATAAGGTGGGTAGTTTCCCATAACTAGGTAGGGCTTTGGGACATTTTATATTTCCCCCTTATTGGGCTTAAGAGGATCTTATTTACTAGTATTTTTCAAAGGCTCTAAAAGCCCCACCTAGATAAGCCTCCCATACCACTCCGATAAGGTAAAGGGGGTCTTATGAGAGTACTGTGGAAGAGGAACTACCTACCTGTAAGGGGCTTCTATACAGATTTTAGGG